GAGGATCCTCACACTTCACCCTATCTTTCCCTTCCCTCTCCACCTATGCAGGACATTTTTCGCGTGCTGGATCGCGTCCTTCCCCCGTCCTGTCAGTCCTCCTCCCTCCCTTCCTCCTTCCACTTGCTCAGTTTGGGCGGGAAGGGGCCTCGGCGCTTGATTCCTTCCACAGACGTGACCCTCCGCGCGGCCGGGCTGGTGGGGCCGACGGCCTCGCTTCTTTTTCGATGGGAGAAGGGAGAAGGGCGACTGCTGCCAAAGGTAAGGAGATAAGGGCGCGAGTTGGAAACCTTGAATGGGAGGATAGGAAGAATAACAATAAGAAACTGGCTCCATTCTATGCTAGGCTGGGAGAAAGACCAAATCCTCTGGTCTTGCCATGCTCCAATTGTTTTTCAAGCCGGGTGTATTCATCATATTTTTTTTGACGTTAGGCCACTGCAGAATGGATGGACCCAGCACTGTTTCCCGCGAGAGGGGATGGAGCAGGGGTGCACGAGTGTGGGGATGGTTGAGAGTCATGAAAAGATTGTTGTACAAAAGCCCGTATCGTGTATAATGCCACCAAATGTACATACTGAACGGGCGTTTCGAGTAACATATCAATGCGTTTGATCTGCTATATTTACTTGCCTCACCAGCATACGAAGCTCGCCCTTCACTCTTGTTGCTCGGGGTAGATGCAAGTCACAAGCAGGCGGGCTGACAAAGTGCCTTTGCACTAACCTTGACTTGCGGTTTCTTCATTGACCTGGATATCTATGCGGTATTTCTGTTCCGTGTCCAAAAGGAATTAAAAAATACTGGAGGAAAACGATATGGCACAACGCCTCCCGACGCACGATACGATGGTAGGGCATCACGCCTTTCCCCAGCCCGTCCTATTCCCACCCGTGAAAACGTGCCCATTCTTACAACCACGGGCCGCTTGTGCGTGTGAAAAGCGAAGTGGTACGTGTACCAATCATTTATTTCCATTTTTCTGTCATTCTTCTGATACGCATCAGATTAAGAGAGGCCAAGGATGCTGAACGCAGAAGAAACTAAAACTTCCGGGGCGGCGGATGCTTCCCACGGAGGCAAAAAGGCAAACACTACATCAACCAAGGTACGAGTGGTGAACTGAGGAATTTAAGTTTTCTTCTGTGAGCTTGAAGGTGTACATGTTCTTCGTCGCTTGCCCGATGCGTTTGGCCGTCTTGAGAATTTTGTTCTACTTGCACTAAGGCAAGATATGCGCAAATAAATCACCATCTCCGAGCAAGATGATCTCTAAACATATGCTTCTATCTTGATAACATGTTAAGATATTTTTTTACTTATTTTTCGCTTATTTGCTCTTCTTGAACGCATCACTATCCGTATGCTCCCAGGTCAATCAAGTGAGCTGGTTACAGCGCCTGCGGAGGGAGGGTTGCTTGCCTCTCAAAACTGTTGGGTTTTTAACCGGTAGGCTTGATGGACAGAATGAAATGAAGAAATTATGACGGACTATAGAAGGAAGGGTCCTCGTGTGATGAGGTCATGTCACGGAGGCCGCCGATGCGGCGGGCGGCTTCCCTAACCTCCTCCTCATTCCCTCCTTTTTACTCGAGACACCCACGTATTTCTCTTTGCTCCTGGCTTCTTCCTGCCTCACGATCAGGCTTGGCGCTCACGGTCATCGCCTGCCTGACATTTGCTGCGAAGTTATTGGATTTGAATGTGGTGGGCGCGATCAATCAGGTGAGGGAAGGAAGCTGAGGAGAAGGAGAAGGGGAGAAGGAGGCGGGGGATGGAAACTTAACAATTTGTGCGGAGGGAAAACAACAACGTGATTACGGGTAGCGTCATCCCTTCCATCTCCTCCCCCCTCTCTCCCCCCCTCCTTCTCTTCTCTCCTCCGTTCCCTTAACTCGCGCCGGCAGGTTTGGTTGGCGATCTTCGGGCTGATCATGATGCTTCTAGAAGCTTCTTCGAGCACCAACTTCCTGTCCCAGCGGGTCTCGCGCTGGTTAAATGAGAATATGAAGATCCTCACATACATGACTGGCCGAGGTCTATTTTATATTTTTGTTGGCACGGTAAGGGCAGTAACGTATTCAACGGACGGTTGCTGTCCCATGATTGACACGACGGAACACTCGTGGGCGTCGGAGGTGGGGAGTATGGATAAAGCATGTCTTCATGTCCCTTGGAGATGTGGTCTTCCAGGCCCCCACTGTTCTCTTACCGTGGTTTCTCTCATGTGCACGGGGCGTCGCGATCGAAAGACTCCTCCTACCTATATATATATATATATGTAGATAGAGAAATACCTCTGCCTCGTTTTCAGGAGGACCATGACGGTTGTAGATACGGTAGATCATGTTTAAGATTTAAAGGCAAGTCATCAGGCTCGCACACACCCCT